GAGGTAGCTTCCGACCGCGGTCCGCTCCGCCATCGCGCCGGACACGATTGTCGCGCAGGTGGACTGGAAGGCGAGGAAGACGAAGAAGGAGTAGTGGTCCTCGGCGGTGGTGTCTTCGTCCCAAGCAAGCGGCCACGTGCCGCCGTAGGCGACGGAGTAGCCCCACAAAGCGGCGATCAGCGTGCCAAGGATTACGTCAATGATATTCTTGGCGTAGGTTGCGATGACGTTGTGCTCGCGGACAGTTCCAGCCTCGAGCATCGCGAAGCCGAGCTGCATGAGCATCACAAGAACTCCGCAAAGCAGCTTCCAGGCCGTATCGAGCGCGACTGAAACGGACAGTAAATCGTCGGCCAGTGAATCGAGAGTGGCGTTGACGGCTGCTGCACGGCAGCACGTGCTGGCGCAGTCCGCTGCGATGTCGGCTTCATCGCACGCGGATGGTTTGAGCCACACGCACCACCACTCGTCGGTGCTCGTGGAGCAGCCCATGGATCAAAATGTTTTTATGAACCCTCGTCGGAAGCCGGTCTAGGACAGTTAGGACAGGCAGCCTGCCCGGCAACCCGGCAGCCTGCCCGGCAAGGCTCTCCGGCAAGGCTCTCCTCACCGTCTCGCGCGGGGCGAGATTTCTTTCCTGTGTTAGTGCCAGTGCGAGCCAGTCCCGTGCCCAGTGTTGTGCGAGGGAGCTTTGTTGTAAAATTCTTTCCGTGGTGTACCTGTGTTAGTGAGTGCGCGCCAGTCCCGTGCCCAGTGTCGTGCGAGGGAGTTTTGTTGTAATTTTTTTTCTTCTTCTCTCTTACTCTTTGGCCTGTATAGAGAGAGAGAGAGAGAGAGAGATTTTTAGCAATACCAAACAACTCTAACACTCACACGTAATTTGGGGCCTGGAGCCCTGTTCACGCGCGCGCGAGACGTGCAGACAGGGTTGCCAGGTGAGAGCGAATGGCGCGGTTCACGCCTCGCACAACAGAGAGAGAGATGCGCTCTGCATGGTGGGACATAAAAGAGAGCGAGTACTTGGGCGAGTTTTTGTTTTGTTTTTCCTGTATATACTTTTCCGGCAAACAAAAAGGAAAACAGAGGGGCCCCAGCACTTTGCGTTTCCGGAAATTTCCAGGGAAAACAGAGGGTGTTTGGTGCTCCATTCTGGAAACTCGCGAGTTTCCCTGAGTCTGAGAGCTGGTCTGGGGCAAAATCTGCAAAACAACAAAATCTGAGGCAAAATCGAGGAAACCGGCAACATCCCGGGCTTTTTCCAGGTATACCCGGGTTTTTCCGCAGGTATACCCGCAAAATACCCGGTATTTTGCCGATTTGGCTGATTTTGGGCCCAAACCAGCCTCAGACTCGGCTCAGAGCCCGGAAAATTTGATGGTTTCCCCGGGAAAATAGAGAGGAAAAGAGAGG